ATCCCTTTCTCCCCTAATATGCCTGGTGCTTGTTCTTGCCTTGCAACCGTAGCAGATTTTTTTTTCCCCACATGAAAATAGCAAAATTCCTGCCTCAGGAAAAAGTGAGAACTTCCCCGGGGGCTGTACTCATTTGGCTGCTCAAGTAGCTGCGTGGGGAGCTGGAAGTTGAGCGAAGAGCCTGCTGGCGGCTTGGCGGCAGATGTAAGGGAAACAGGATTTGAACCCAGCACATGGCAGGGAATCTAAGCAATCAGTTTCTCCTTAAGATGTTGGCCCCAGGAACATGTTAAAGAACTACGCCTGCATCCCTAGCTAAATGCCTTCGCTCCAGGGCCAGCTGCGAGACTGCCTTCCCCCACACTGGCAGCTGTTTCTGTGCTCCGTGGCCCAACCCCTCCATGCCACTTACCTTTTGGGTTTGTTCCTCTCTCTTGTCCTCCTGAGTCCCCACTCCATGCCTCACTGAATGTTGGTGAAACAAATCTAGTCTAAAATAATGAACAATCAACTACCCTGATGCTCAGGGCCAGACTGGGCAGGGCTGGGGGAAGGGGTGGGGAGCTGAATCATTTATAAAGCTTAATAAAGATGCAGATGAGCAGTGCTGACTAGGAACCCCAGAGCTGGGCTTATTCATTATTCAAAGTTATGTAAATGCCACTGGGTCCTGCATGTTTGAATCCTGCCCCTCATCTCTGCTGCCTGTCTGGGGCTGGCTGATCCAGCTCACCTTATGCCACTCTCTCTTCTGAGGGGCTAGAGTTAGCCCTGGCTCAGGCTTTGCTCAGGTAACTATTTCCCAGGTTACCTCCAAGATAAAAATCCTGGGCCCCATCTCCAGCTAGTAGTCTTCCAGAAATTTTGGGAGGAGGCCTTGGCCTTCAAATGAGGTTCTACAGGCTCAAGCAGATGCACTTCTTATGGTTTAAGATTTCCAAGGAAAGAATATACCCTAAGAGGGCTTGTGTGTGGTGTGGTGTGTGTGTGTGTGTGTGTGTGTGTTAATCTCACATATCTGCTTTAGGATTCCCTAAGATCTAGCCTAAATCCCTCTTGCTGCACTGAAAGTCCACCATTGAAATTACCAAATTTCCTTTCATTACCCTTCCTGAGGAGCGAGAAGCAGGCCTCCAGTAACTTCTCAGCCTGCTCTTTCCCAGCCAGCCCTTCCCAGTTGCTGCCTTTTGCCTCTGTAGACAGTTGTCCCTCTTTAGGTTAAACTCGCAGCACCCGGGGTACCAAACTCCAATGAGGGCTGAACTACAGTAGTTCTCACCACGCTATTTATCTCCTCTTTCCCCACCAAGGCTACCTCCCCATCACCCACCCTGACTCTCCTCCCTCTGCACCAATCTGGACCTGTTTCCCGTTTGTCAGTTTGGTGAAGCTGAGAGATGAGGAATTGGGTCAGAGTCACGATGGCATCGATTTCCTCGGCTCTCCCTCCTTTTCTGGCCTGGCTGTTCTCCCTCCTCGGCCCAGTCTATTTTTATCCTGCCTCTGTTTTCCTTCCTCTGGTTGGCAACTACCACGGGTCTCTTTCTCTCTGTTACCTTTATCTCTCCCCCGCAGCCTTTGCGCGCCCCAGCTGCCCTTCCAGAGGTCTCTGACTGCCTGCCTGATTGGGTTTGATTTTCTTCCATCTTGGAGATACGCAAGGGCTGCCTGGCCATGCTCAGGTGGAGGGGAAGCAGAGAGATAATTCTGGTTGGGCAAATCCTTCAATACTGCAGAAACCCTCCAGTCGTCCTCCAACCCTTTCTGCACTGACCTCTGTTTTCTTCTCTGCCCATAGATTGCTTCCTACATCTCCTCTCCCCTGTATGATTCCACCTCGCCCCAACTAAGAAACGCTCTCTTCCTCCCATTGGGCTGAGGCCCACTGCCTTTGATTTTGGGGCTGTGCAGCACCCCTGAAGATCCAGCCTGCCTTTCTGATCACCACATTGCCAGTCTCTTTGTATCCAGTTCTTTGTCTCGCCCTGTTCCTCACTGGCCTCATCCTCCTCTGCACACTCGTCCTACCCACTGGCCCCTGCCTTCTACTCCCTTTCCTAGCACTCCGGGCTGCCTTCTAAGGCCTTGGCAACTCAGGCAGGGCTGGGAAGCATCCCCCACTTGTCCTTTCTCAGCCTCCTCGAGACACTGGCCCCCTCCTTTAGCTGTCACCGTGGAGCTACATAGGCTGGATATTTCGGAAGGGGAGCTGCAGCTGGCTGGGGGAGGAGGGGGTGGCACCAAGCGGCAGAGAGGATTTCAGGCAGCTGTGCAGCCAGAGGGGACGTTCCAAACACCCATTCTCCTCAACTCAGCGGCAGGAAAGCTGCTGGGGTCACGCTGTGGTCCCCCTCTCTATCTCGTTTCTCTCCCCTCCTCAATCATAACACAATGTCTTGCTTTCTAATTCATGGTATTTTTTTACATACATCCAGATGAGCACAGGGCTCACTCCTCCTCCCCTGCGTCTGCAGAGAAGCACCCTTCTCAGCAAGCCCCACCTTGACCACTCATCAAAAAGGTCAGATTCTCAAACCCAATTTGAAATTTGGTTATTTCAATGGTGGACTTTCAGTGCAGCAAGAGGGATTCAGGCTAGATCTGATTTTACCCCACACTTGAGGTTTTTGTTTTTTTTTTTTTTTTTTGGTTTTTCTCCAGTGCCGGGAACCGAACTCTCGACGTTGCACTTGCCAGGCAGGTGCTTTTGCCGCTGAGCTAAATCCCCAGCTTAGGCTAGATCTTAGGGAATCCTAAAGGTCAATTCCCAGTGCTTCAGCTGAAGCACTCACTTCCCTCACCCTGCTGTTTTCCTCTAAAGCACTTATTAACTTCTAATATACAATAAAACTTACCTACACGTGCTGCTTACATGCCTTCTCACCTACCTGCAAGGGCTGTAAGCATAGGCCATTTTTTGAGACAGGGTCTCAATATATAGTCCAGGCTGGCCTTGAATTTACTGCTAGCTTAGGCTGGTTTCAAACTCACACAGCTAGTCTTCTGCCTTGGCCTTCCCAATGCTGGGATTACAGGTGTGCACCACCACACCCAGCAAGAATAAAACTTTTAAAAATATGTTTGTGTATTAAAGGAAGGAAGGAAGGAAAGAAGAAAGCAAGCAAGGAAGGAAGGAAGGAAAGAAATATAAACTGGGCATGGTGGCCCATCCCTGTAATCCCAGCACTCTGGGGTGCTTAGGCAGGAGGGTTATGAGTTCAAATCCAGTCTTGATAATTTAGTGACTTTCCTAGACCTGTTTCAACAAATAGAAAGAGCTGGGGATGTAGCTCAGTGCAGAGACCCTGGAATGCAATTGCCCAGAACAGAGAAAAAAAATACATATATACATTACATACATGCAATAAAAACTTTACCATCTTAGTCATTTTTAGGTATATACCTCAGTGGCATTAAGTACATTCATGCTGCTCTGCATCCAATCTCTGGAACTCTTTTCATCTTGCAAAACTAAAATTGTACTCATAAACAAATCCTCCCTCTAGCCCCTGGCAATCATTCTACTCTCTGTGAATTTGACTACTGTACTCATATAAATGAAATTGTACGGCTGGTCCTTTTGTGTCTGGCTTGTTTTACTTAACATAATGTTCTCAAGTTTCCTCCATGTTGGAGCTTATATCAGAGTTTTTCTCCCATCTTAAGGCTGAATAATGTTCCATTATGCATACTGCATTTTGTTTATTCATTCATCTGTCAGTGGATGTCTGGGTTGTTTCCACCTCTTGGCCATTGTAAATTATGTTGCTCTAAACGTGGGTGCATAAATATCTTTTGAGACACTGTTTTCAATTCTTTTGGGACTATATCCAGAAGTAGAATTGCTGGGTCATGTGTTAATCTATTTGTAATTTTTTGAAAAATGACTATACTGTTTTAGAATGAGGATTTTTATCTGTTTTGTTTACTGATACATGCAGTGCCTGGCACAGTGCCTGGCACATAGTAGATACTAAATGAATATTTGAATATTGAACAAATGAATGAGTGAGTGAGTGCTGTTATTCAAGCCTCACACTTTCCTGTAGAGTTGCTCAGTATGATTGTTCCCATGTTATAGAGGCTGAGGCTCAGGGAATCATTGCGATCACCCAAAAAGCAGACCTGGCATGAGATCACCCGGGTCAGCTAGCATTTATTTATTTGTTTATTGGTACCGGGAATCAAACTCAGGACCTTGCACTTGCCAGGCAGGCGCTGTGCCACTGAGCTATATCTCCGGCCCTCAGCTGGCTTTTATAACCCACTGGAGAAATCAGTGCTAATACATGTGCCAAGACCTTTAAGGACTGAGGCACTTGAAGAGTGACTTCCTCGATGTTGTGTTTACTTTGGGAATATTCTGACTCTCATTCTCCTTGCTCACTGCTCGCCACTCAGTGATTTCTCCTACCATATCCACGCCACCCAGTCCTGTCTTTTCTCTCCCTAGAGCATTGAAAATCCCGATCTCTGGGGGTGGAACTGGCCCAATCTAGAGGTCCCCCCACTTGGGTTTCACCTGAGTGCATTCAGCCTTGCCTGAGTCTCTGTTTACACCTCAGCTCTCCACCCACCCTGGGGTAGTTAGGAGCCCGTTCCCTTCCAAAGCAATTAGTGCAAGGAGGCCAGCCGACTCGGTGCTAATGCTGTTTCATTAAGTGGGAGCAATCCTAATGATAATAAAATGGCACATTTAACATTCAAACATTGAACAGGGTTTCTAAGCGAGTGTGTCTCTCTCTTTCTTTCTGGTATAACAGCTCCATCTTCATAAGGACCTGACAATACACCTTAATGAGGGACTGGGGAGCTGAGAGTCTTTGCAGATCCAGAGAGAGGATGAAGATCAGACAAAGAATCCAGGGAAAGGGGGTGCAGTGCAGTCGGGGGACCAAGATGCTGTGGATTCCTGGGGGAAACAGATTCTGTGATGCTAATTTAGACAATTAAAGCCTGCAAGAAATAAGGTCACATGGAAAAGAAAGCCCACCGCAGACTTTTATGTAACGCAATTATCTGTTTATTCAACAAATTTTTTTCATCAAACATTTATCGTGCAGCTATGAGATTTGATGAGAGTTTGTGATGGAGATGGCTCCGTCCTAGGATGGCTTGCCCAGTTTTAGGGAAAAGGAGCCCCAAGAGCACTAGTGATCTGTGAGAAGTCATCTTGTTTACCCTCCCCTGAACAGATTTAGTCAAATCTAGCCTAAGTCCCAGAAAAGAAAATCAAATGTCCCAGCAAAAGAAAAGAATGTATCTCAGAGCCACTTCCCAGAACTCTTCCCAGCAGGGGCCTGGGTGCAGAAACGAGGCCGGTCATCAAAGGTGGGCTTTGCCCAGGCCGGAGAAACGGCTTATGCGAAACGGTGCCAAGTCATAGGATGGTGTCAATTTCATGCTTAACTCACACAGGATCTTTCCCACAACAGGGGCCAGCTTGAATCCATGCCCTAAGAGAAGGAGTAGAAGGTCATGCATCCACAGGGATCGAGAGGCTCGGCTCTTGAGAAGTTCCCTACTTAACCAGATAGGCTACCCTTCTGCCTGGTCTCATCTGAAACCTAGACATTGCCTCCCGCTATGAGTCCTGCTCTGTGACTGCCCGGCCTCTTTATACACTGCATGTCTGGCCTCTGACACTTGTCTGGGCAGCTAAGAGCATGGAAAATACTACTTTTCCTGGCACCGAGATAGATCAGATTGAAGGTTCCCCATGTCCCCTTCCTTGGGCTCACCAGAGAATCCAGCGCCAATGATAATGTTGTCGTACTTCGGGTGACGGTCAAGAACAAAGTGCTTATCAGGGGTGTTCTAGAAAGAAATAGTCACACCTATGTCAGCTGGGGACAGGGAGAGGTGGAATGACAGGCTCTGACAGGAGGGGCCCAGACCGGATTTCTTTCCAGAAAGAAAGATGGGGCACAGGCATGTTTCCTGCGTGCCAGGCACCCTGTGGCTCTGCCAGTCTTTCTTGTCTGTCCATCTGTCTCTCTCCTTCTACTGAGCCATGAACACAGTAGGTGCTCATTTCATCTTTATAAACCGACTTTAGCCAAGATGCCTCAGGCGCTGGTGACATCTGTCTCTTCTCTTTGTCCCTAAGGCCTGTTCAACTGGAGCATCTTGCCAAAAAATCTTTTAAAGCTCTTCTGGGAAATATAGTGAAAGGCTGCCAGGCATAAGCCTAGTTGCCTAATGAAAAAGAATATGAATAATCCCTAATGGGCCCTCTCTGGTGGAGGTGAACCAACCCACAGAAATTAGTTTCCTTGTTTAAGGTCATGTACTGTGTCAGGGGTCAAATGTAGCCGAGCCTGGCTAGTGCAAAGTCATCTCCTCCCCCAGCCCCTTACCGTGTACATGCAGCGCTCCATGATGGCAGGCTCGGGCGTCAGGTCAGGGAAGTGGTCTTTGACAAAGTGGCGTAGGATTTGGACATCTTCCACACTTGGGAAGGTGGTGGGGTAGTCCCGCTCCTCAGGGTCCACATTGTTGCCATGGTGAAGGCAGATCTGGCCACCATTAGAGCGGTAATGGTCAGAGAGGCTGACCCCACACACCAGGGAGGAGCAGGCTTGGACACAAGACGTCCCTATCCATCCTCCTGGCCTTCCCCAGTGCTGACAGATGCTGTCTGTTGCCACTGCTGTCAGCCCCTGTACCCCCCGCGTTTGCAAAAGAAAGACTCCTGGCTGGGCCTTGAGGCAGCTGAGGGTTTTGCTCTGCAAACAGCAAATAGTGAATACATAGTGAAGCTAACTCCACTGCTGCCCGCTGGGACAGGGAAAGCCTGTGTAGGGGGAAATTCAAGCAGCCACCCGTGCTTTGCCTCTCCGCTCACCTTCATCAGCCCAGGGTACTCTCCTCCAGGCAGCCCGTAGATATGATGGGGAGCCAGGTCCATGCAGATGAAGCAAGGAAAGGCCTGGGACACACTGTAGCTCCCGGGAACCTTCTCTGTCCAGTAACACACATTGATCAGCAGAGTCTTGAAGGATGGGTGGAAGTGGGACACAAAGGTAGAAAACCATGGAACTCTACAGACAACAATTTCTTCTGGAGTCCTGCAGCCCTTTCACACATCTGTCCCTGTCTAAACCAGTTCTTATGTCATTTCCTTGTTACATACATTGTGAGGCATAAGGCTCCCCAAACTCCTGTCTCCTCCCCCATAGCTGTAAGCCAACCTGACTTCTCTCTCATTGCAGAAGTTGGTGACACCTCATATTTATTCAGTGTTTTCTTTTTTTTTCTTTTTTTTCAGTCTTTTGAGACAAGGTCTCATTATGCAGTTCAGGCTGGCCTTGCGCTCACTTTGTAGCCCAGGCTGGTCTCAAACTCACAATGATCCTCCTGCCTCAGCCTCCTGAGTGCTGGGATTACAGGCGTGCGCCACCATGCCCGGCCCTGTTCAGTGTTTTCTGTAAACCAGAGCTTCTCCTAAGGGCTCTACATACTATATAATTTAACTCTCCAACAGCCCTTTGAGATAGCTATTAACCCCACGGTGATAAAACTTGAGGCACAAGGAGGTGAACTAATTTACCCAAGGTCTTCCACTAGTAAGTGGCAAATTCAGAATGCAATGTCTAGTCCACATGGCTCCAAAGCTTCTGGTAAGCACCGACTCTCAGGCTTCCTGCTTCCCCTACCTGGAGTGGTAACTCAATTCCCAGAGGTTGGAGGAGCTTGCTGGACCAAGGACCAGCTGTGATGACCAAGCTCTTAGCTTGGTAGCTCCTGGAGGTGGTTTTCACTATGACTGGGAGCCCAGGTCTTATCTCCGTCACCTTCTCTCCATCGTGCACTGTCCCTCCAAGCCGGAGAATTGCATCCTACAAGGGCAGAGAAAGAGCAGGGAAAGCTGAATTCATTGTGTATGTTCTTCACCCTGGTGGACAAAAAGCCCTTTGCTTAGAGTAGACAAGAAAGTGCAGAATTTAGATCTCCTCTCCCAGCCCCACAAGGCCAGTGGGAGTATAAAAATGCCAGCACTAATGGTCAGAACCAAAGGCAGCAGAGCAAAGGCCTTCACTTGGAGGGGATTCTGGGACTGGTTGGCTGATTTGGACCCAGGAGGCCCAGAGCATTTTCCAACACTGCGCAATGTTACCTGGATGGCTCTGAGGGCCTTGTCTGCATAAAGGACCCCTCCAGTCTTGTCCAAGAGCCCCACTTCTCCCCTGGCAAACCGAAGATTTGGGAAACGTTGCTTTAGGTCCTCAGATGAGAGATTCCGGTGTTCTATCCCCCGCCTAGACAGAATGGCCTGCATTGTCTTTAATTCCGGATTCTCCTTCTTGCCCAAGAGCAGTAGTCCAGTCTTTCTGTTAAATAAACAAAAACCAAATAAATAAGCAAATAAATAAATAAAGAAAGAAGCCTGGTGCAGGTCTATGTCAGGGCCTGAGTTATTCACTTGCTGTCATTCTTCAGCTGAAGGGAGTCAGGACCTTGCATTCAGAGAACAGGTGAAGCCATCCAGGTCCAGTTGTAAGAGTACTGGTGCTCTGCAGGTGTTTTCCAGGCTGTTCCCAAGCTCACACTTGGTTTGCCTGTCCCTCCATCCTTCCCCTAAGAGCAGAGATCCTAAGCCCTTTCATCTTTCATACCTAAAGGCGGTAAGTGTCCAACTGGTCCAATAAGACTTCTTTTTTTTTTTTTTTTTTTTTTTTTTTGGCACTGGGAATCGAACTCAGGACCTTGTGCTTGCCAGGCAGGTACCTGTACCACTGAGCCATATTCCCAGCCCGGTCCAATAAGATTTCTTCCTCTTCTTCCCGTCCCTGACCCATTCTTTATGTTCACCCCTCTGTTCTCTATCCTCTCCCCCACCCCCACCGTTTCTTTTCCTCTTCCCTTTTCTTGCCATACAGCCTCTTGTCCCCTGCTGTGTGTCCACCTCTCAGTGCTTTCTCAGAGGCTGCTTGTCTTGTGGAAAGCATTTTAAATTGGGAATTCGGGCTCTCCTTCTAAGCCTGGCATCACCTTGGTATGACCTTGATCTGGTCATTCACCTCTTGGGGCCCAGATTCCTCCTCTGTAACATGTGCCTACTGGACCATTGGTGGGGCTCCTCTCCTACCCAGGGGCCAGGAGAAATGGTACGGACCATGTTTATAGTTGTCGCAATGTCGGAGGTTGCCACTTACAGTTAATGGGCAGTGGTCAGGGATCCTAAATCAGCAGCGCTCGAGAAGATCCCGCTCCAAATGCCAATGTCACTTCCGTGCACAAACACCAATAAATGGTCTCTCTTTGAGCTCCAGCAATAAATTCAATGATCCTCTGATTTTATTTTTCCCTTACCTCCCTCCATCCTTCTTACTGTGGAAGGGAGCAGAAGCAGTTTCTCTTTAATGCTTCCTGCACCTGTCACAAGAGACCAGAGCTCTTTTGGGGAGAACAGTCTAGACAATGGGAGGGTCCCCCTGCCCATGAGGCCATTCCTGTGGTTCCTCTTGGTTTCCGCAGCCGCAGTGACCGGCAGCAGCCTGGTACATCCCCCAGGTACTGTGTATAAAGCTCGTAATAGCCTATAATGGAGTCTCATGGATATTACATGGTTCCAAATCCCACATTATCTGGTTGGGGGGATTAAAGAGAAGATTGGGAGGGGGTAGGGACACAGCGGACTCGGGGGCTGGTGTCGGTACACAGAGCTGCGCAGCGTGCCCAATCCATTTGCCATGGCCCCCGCCTACCCGGCATTCAGCACTAGTGAGATAGCAACGCCAGCTTCTGCCACTTCAAAGCTCAGCAGAGGAGACACGCTGTAGAAATCCCTAGCAGCCAAGAGACAGACTTTTTTTTGTGGCCCCCCAAAAGGACTTCAGATTGGTTCTCAGGTAATGCAAACTTGCCTAGTAAATTTCTTGGTCAACAAAATAATTTAGAAGCCACATAGGGCCGGCATGGTGGGCACATGCTTATAATCCCAGCTACTCAGGAGGCTGAGGCAAGAGCATTGCAAGTTCAAACCCAGCCTGGACGACTCAGCAACCTAGTGAGAGGCTGTCTCAAAATAAAACACAAAGAGTGGGGGCTAGGGATGCAATTCAGTGTGAAGGACTTGGATTTAAGCCCTGGTTACACAAAGAAATAAAAAAGAAGCCACACAGGGCCAGGCCTCGTATGAACGCCTGTAATCCCAGCTCCTCAGGAGGATCATGAGTTCAAGGCCAGCCTAGGCAATTTTTTGTTTGTTTGTTTGTTTTTGTTTTTCTTCCGGTACCAGGAATCGAACTCATGACCTTGCACTTGCCAGGCAGGCGCTTTGCCACTGAGCTAAATCCCCAGCCCCTAGCCTAGGCAATTTAGTGAGACTCTGCATGAAAACAAAATAAAAAGGGCCAGGGATCTAGCTCAGTGGTAGAGCACTTATAGCACAAGATCCTGGGTTCAATTCCCAGTAGCACAAAGAAGAAAAAGAAGGGGAGAAGGGGAAGGAGGAGGAGATGCTATCACATGGGAGATTTGGGGGGAGGGTACAGCTCAGTGGAGAAGCATTTGCCTAGCATATTCAAATCTTGAGGTTCAGTCTTAGCACTGGAGAGAAAAAGTTACCTAGGGTGTTTTGTTTGCAATGCTAGGGATTTGAACCCAGAGCCCTGTGTATGCTATGCAAGTGTTCTGCCACTGAGCTACACCCCAGCCCCGAGTGTATGTTCTTGAGCTCTTTTTACTTAATAGGATCCTTGCTGGGTACCGTTCTGGGAAAGATCTGCCTTACACCTCACCTAAGCAGATGTAATGTCTCTGGCCTGGAGACTCCACAGTAGTATGTTCTAACCCTTGCCGGCCACATAGCAGGCTTGGCCTCTCCTATGCTGTGAGATTTACTTTCTCTTCTCCCAGGCTTCCATCCCTCCTACCTTCCTTCTTTCCAACTTCCTTCCTTCTTTCCTTTAAATAAGAACTCCTTTTACAGGGACACACTGTCTGGGAAAAGTGAACTCATGCCAAGACAACGGGCAAATCTCTCAAATTATGAAATGCTGAGTGATGTTCTAATTCCCAAGCTGTCCTGCGGTGGATGAAGCGGGAGCTCCCTATCCCAAGGAGTAATCAGCGAGCTGATTCTGCCGGTGAATGTAATTGTGCCGATTGTAATCATTTTGCTCCAGCTCTCTGCCCCTGTCGCATTTATTTCTTAGCCCAGATATTGATCTAACAGTGGGAAATTTTCCATCTGAATTTGTGATGGCGGACCCTCCCCAAGTCTGAAAACGTGTTTGGGAAATTCTCATTTTCCGTGGATCACAGCTGAGCTATTTGGCCTGAGGGAAACCGTGCCCTGCTGGAGAAATGCCTTGGATTGGAGAGAGATTTTTGACCATTATGAGCAAATCGGAAATAAATGTAAAACACTGCCTGGAAATGCAAAGGCCTGTCATTATGGGAGATAGGTGAGAGGCTCCTATGGGAAATGCTCAGAGAATTGGAAATCAGTCAATCAAAACCAGGATCGGAAAACGGGTCTTTTCCCCCCAGTATGAAGATAGATGACTTCCATGGGTAGATTGAAAATCATTTAAGTGCTTATTTTCTTAATGGCTTTTCCTAGATCCCAATAAATAGACTGCTCATTCTGCATTAATTTCTCACCCCTGTGCTCTGGGCCTTCCCCGCCTCTTTTTCCGCTCAGACCTGGGCTACAAAGTTTGTGAAGGAGAAGGGTGAGAAAGGACAAGGACATCAGCATGGGGGAAAACAACCAGGAAATGACAGGTCAGGACTGGACTAAAAAGAAGGGATTGAAGCCAGGGCAGGGCAGCCAGGGAGCTAAATATTCAAAGTTGCCCCCTGCCTGAAATGCCCATCAGTACCGAGAGCATTTGGTATGAATTACGCCTTTCTTCCAACCCCAGCTGGATCCAGTGCCACAGGTCACTGCAGAGTCCTCCCAAGGGCCTTGTTGACTCTTTGGTGGCTGACTAATGCCTTGGACGTGCTGCAGGAAGCTGGCAAGCTGGGATTTCCACCAGTTACTACAGTGGGACGGGTGTGGAATGGAGCAGGGAGGACCCATCTGCCAACTTCCATTGCAGGCTCCAGCTTTCCCCTCACTCACCCGCTTAAAAGTGCCAGGCAAGCCAGCTCTGAGTCACCTTGGGGAAGGGACTCAGTAATGGCTGCTGTCTTTGTTGGTTTTGGAGGAGCTCTCTGTGTTTCATCTTCCGCTCAGTGGGCCGAGGTGGAATTGGTTAACAAAGACTGCTCCAGGGAGGGGATGTGGCTGACAAGCCAGACACTTCGCAGACACAGGAAGCAGCAGCTGCGGAGGGGGCCACCAGGTTCTGCCAGCAGCTGTACTGCCTACGGCTGTGATCTTGTCTGATATTGTCAGCGAAGCAGGGGCAGCCCGGGTCAGGAGCTGGATAGTAGGACTCAAAGGGAGGAGGCGGGGCAGGAAAAAGATGGGCCACAGAGCTGGGCTTTGCTGTTGGTATCAGCATCCTGGCTGTACACATCACAAAAGATTCAGACCTTGTGATCTGACACATGTGTCATTGTCTGTTCCCAGAATATATGCAAATATTCTGAGCCCACCCATATATAGTATGCCGCTGTCATAGGAAGCAGCAGAACAGAATAAAAAGAATTGGACAGCCACCTCCACACCAACTCCTAAAGGTTTTTGTTTTTTAATCATCATCAAATGGCATTATGTTCCTTTCTATCAGTTATGGTATTGTGCTGGCTCTTCTAGACTCTGGGGAAAAGAATCACAAAGACGACGTCATTCAGAAAATCAAAATTATGCGTAAAACCTAAAACAATTTGAATGACATTTAACCCAGGTAGCAAGGTATATTCAGATACCACCCCAAGAATAGATGGTTTCTGCTCTGGGTCTCTACTAGTAAAAGAACCAAAAAATTTAGCATGCTTGTGTACATTAGGTTAGCATAAGTTATGGCTTGTTAATGATAGAATAATAACAACAATGATAATAATACTTAGTACTCCCGCACTTTAAAGGTTTTTAAACTACATTCACATCATTCTTTATCTTTCATAATTGGGGCTGTGATGGAATAGGCTTTTAGTATGGGCTATGATATTTCCCTGGCTTTAAATGTGCAGTAGCAGTATTTTGACCTGAATATTTTAGGCATGAATTTCTTTGGAGACGGGGTACTGGGCAACATTACCAGTTTGTGGTATCATCTAGATCAGGGTCAGTAGGGGCTGGGGATTTAGCTCAGCGGCAAAGCGCCTGCCTGGCAAGCGCAAGGTCGTGAGTTCGGTTCCCGGTACCGGAGAAAAACCAAAAAAAAAAAAAAAAAATAGATCAGGGTCAGTAAACTATGACCGAGGAACCAAATCTGGCTTCCTGCCCTTTTTTATCTGATCCACAGCCAAGGTATCATATATCTGGGGTTTTTGAGGGGGGGTTTTGTTTTGTTTTTATGTCTTTTTGAGACAGGATCTCGCTATGTAGTTTAGGCTGGCCTTGAACTCACTCTGTAGCCCAGGCTGATCTCCAACTTTCAAGAATCCTCCTGCCTCAACCTCCCAAGCGCTGGGATTACAGGCATGTGCCACCACGCCCGGCTCAATATCATATATCTGGGACTTGGGACGGAATGCAAGACCTTCACACTGAGCCCTTTTCTTATTTTTTATTTTGAAACAGGTCTCACTAAGTTAGCCAGCCTGATCTTGAACTTGGTGATCCTCTTGTCTCAGCCTCCCAGAGTGCTGAGACTAGAGATGTATGCCACCACACCCAACTGGTTTTTATATTTTTAAGTGGTTGGTTTAAAAAATCAAAAGAAGAGCTGTATCTGGTAGTATAAGCTACTCAGAAGATTGAGGCAGGAAGACAGCAAGTTCAAGGCCATTCTGGGCAACTTAGTGAGACCCTGTTTCAAACTAGAAAAATAAAATAAAAAGGGCTGGGAATGAAGCTCAGAGCTCCCTGTGTTTAATTCCTAGTACTAAAAAAAAAAAAAAAAATTAACATGACACAAGAAAAGTATATAAAAAAAAAAATTAACATGACACAAGAAAAGTATATAAAATTCAAATTTTGGTGTCCAGATTTATTGGAACACATCCAGGTTCATTTACTCCCAGCTTGTCTGTGGCAGCTTTCACACTACAATGGCAGAACTGAATAACTGCAGCAGAGAACATATGGTCCGCAAAGCCTAAAATACTATGTGGCCTTTATAGAAAAAGTTTGTTGAACTCTGTTCTTAGACTGAGTGTAGTAATTCTGTGATTTACATTAATGCATTCAAACTCTGATTTCCTATACCAGGCATGGTGGCACATGGGTCCCAGCAACTTACTCGGCTGAGTCAGAAAGATCACTTGAGCCCAAGAGTTTGAGGTCAACCTAAATAACAGGACAAGACCCTGTCCCTTAAAAAGAAAAGACCTTGATCACTTATCACCAACCCACTTGAGGTTGTAGGGAGAAGTACATGCATTGTATATACAGGGTAAGTATCCTTTATCTAAATGCTTGGGACCAGAAGTGTCTTGGACTTTTTTGGATTTTGGAATATTTGCACATACATAGTGAGGTATCTTAGCATGGGAACCAAGTCTAGACTCCAAATTCATTGATACATAGTCTGAAGGTAATTTATATTACAGCACCTATGTGGTTTTGGTTTTGGTTTGTTTTGTATATGAATGTGTGTGTTTGTATATGTGTATGTGTGTTAGTTACTGGGTATTAAGCCCAGAGCCCTAACACTGAACTACATCCCCAACATATTTTTTTTTAATTTTGAGAGAGTCTTGCTAAATGGCCCATGTTGGGCTAGAACTTGGAGTGCTCCTGCCCATGCCTCCCAGAGAGCTGGGATTACAGGTCTGCACTACCATGCCTGGCAAGCACCTCTGCTTCAATTGTCCCATTTCATGAGGTCAGATGTAAAATTTCTCACTTACATGTCAGGGCTCAAAAAGTTTCAGATTTTGGAGCATTTTGGATTTCAGATGTTCAGATTAAAGATGCTCAATCCTAAATACTTAGAGCTGCTCGGGTTGGTTTCTTATTGTGAGTGCTAAGGAGATGGTGATGGTATAATTTTCCGGGTACCATTCAAACTTATGCACAGAAGCCCCATGAAACAGATGTTACTCTCTCCATTTTATAGGTCAGAAAACAGAGTCTCACCCAGGTTAAACAGCTGACTCCAAGTCACGCAGCTAAGCGCATGAGAACTGAGGTTTAGAACCAGGCCTGCTTGGTTCCAAAGTCCTTCCAAATTCCTGACCTTCCGCCAAACCAGAGGACTGTGAGGCTGTGAGAATCTCCTAGCTGATGGTCCCTATCCTTTTCTCCCATACTCATCCCACGACATCTGTGTACTGCGTCCTTTTTGCCTCTTGCCCTTCTTCCACCATCCCCCAAAGGAGCCAGAACATGACTGACCAAAAATAGGTGGAAGGGAACAGTTATTTAAAGGCTCTAGGCACTGTGCCCAGTATTTTTTTTTCTACAAAAGTCTCATAGAATCTCCACAACGGCACATGGGAAATAAAAAGTGGCATAGAGAGGTAAAGAAACTTTTCCAAGATCACACAGCGAAAGAACTAGAGCTCAAAGTCAAACCTAAAGCTGTCTCACTCTGAAACTGTCTTCCTCCGGAAGACTCCAGACATTTGTGCACCAGGAAGAGGCGTGCCCTGCAAGGCTTCGGGCACTTCTCCTAGCCAGAAACACTCAGCAGTATTCACAGTTGGCTGCCAGAGAAGGGTGCCCGTGCCAGGCCACCCCTCAGCAAGACAAGCTCCTTTATTTGGGTGCTGGGTGCATTAGCTGCCTCTGAATAAATCCTTAATTAGCTGCCCCAGCTGTATTTGCATAATGGATTTTACTTTGTTCTTAAGTTAATGGTGTTTTTGCAACAGAACAGTAACCTCTTGCTTCCTGGCCATTAAAATAACTGCCACCCCTTGGGGTAGAGCAGGGGTTATGTAAAGGAAATTCAGTTAAGAGGCCCAGAGGACAGGAGAGGGGAGGCAGGGCTGTTTAAACTCTCCAGGGCAAGACAGATTTTCTGCTTTTCTCCCCAGAGGTGTGAAAGGTCAGTGACCCAGGAATCCTAAGGGCTAGAGGGAGTGATAGGCGAACAGGGAAGTGGCTTCCAGTTCACTCCCTGCAAGCAATCTGGCCTGAGGACCCAGCAGGAAAATTACAGTACTAGCAGGAATACAGAAGATCAAGAAAGCAGCTTTTCCTCCATTTCAACACTACCCTAAAAGAAATTCCAGGGCTGGGGATATAACTCAGCGGCACAGTGCCTGCCTGGGAAGTGCAAGGTCCTGAGTTTGATTCTCAGTACCAAAAAGAAAAAAAGAAAGAAAAGAAAAGAAATTCCACCGAGGTGTAAATAGACTCTAACCAGCTCCTTGCAGGTTTGCCGGCTCTGGGTATTTGCCCCCTGTGCTCAGCACCAGTTTTTCCAGTACAGTCTTTGGACACAGAATCTACCCCAGTCCTGGAACTCAGAGCCTGGACTCAGCGGGACCTGCGGGGTAGTAACAATCACCCACGAGCAGCTCCCTCCCTCCCATGGCACTTCAAGTGTGTGTGTGGCTTGGTTCAAGGAATTCCCCCCCACACCCACCTGTGCAGTGGGGTTCCAGCCTCGCGCTCCAGCTGGGCCCACATCTGATAGCACTCATCCATCATCTGGGTGTAGAAATCTTGAGAGTAAACCTTTCGGATTATGCGGCTCTGACCGTGGGAGCTTCCTCGGGAGTGTGGGAGAAAGAACTAGAAGTGAAGAACAAGAGAAATAACAGAATCTGTTGCCCCTTTTGCTGAGCACCTCCTCAGGAGCTGTCTCATTGTGTGCTGTCAATCAGAAGCTACAGATCCTTTAAATATTTCCACACAATCTTTCCAAATTTTCCCTTTATGGCCAGTTTATTCTCTTGGTGGTCCGGCCAGAAATTCTTCAATGGTATTAACTTCGGATTCTTTTTGCAAACATCATTTGCACCTAGAAGTCCCTTTGTTAGCTGGTCTTCAGTCACCCTGCTGCAATCTGACCCTGTAACAGAGGTTTAGAGGCTGGGCCTGCAGATACCCATGGGTAACCAAAAGCAGGAGGAAGCTTGGCATCTCTGCCTACCTTGGGGGGTTAGGGACAGGGTCTCACTGCATAGTAAACTGATTTTGAACTCACCATGTACCTCAGGCTGGCCTCAAACTTGTGGCAATCCTCCTGCCTCAGCCTCCTCAGTGCTGGGATTATAGATGTGAGTTACCATGCCCAGTTTTGCCTTCATTTAATATGTCTCCTTTATTACTTTAAAACTTTGTGTCAGATCCCTGCTCAGCTTTGTATAGAGGCAGGTTAGTTGCTTAAAGAGAGTCTGTCTAAAAATTAGTAGTACAAGTTTACTAGCCCTAAATTTACCTAACTTTTCTTTTTCTTTCCTTTTCTCTCTCTCTCTCTCTTTTTTTTTTTTTTTTTTTTTTTTTACCAGGAATCAAACTCATGACCTCATGCTTGCCAGGCAGGCACTGTGCTGCTGAGCTATATCCTCAGCCCTACCTAGCTTTTCTTATCTGACATCAAGCTAGGCATGGTGGCGCATGCCTGTAATCTCAGCACTTGGGAGGTTGAGGCAGTAGGATCACTGTGAGTTCGAGGCCAGCCTGGGCTACATAGTGAGTTTAAGGCTAGTCTAAACTATATAGCAAGATCCTGTCTCAAAACAAAATAAAACAAAACAAAAAACACCCACAAAACCCACAAAACTGAAGACATCAAGGTAAGAGTATCTAAAATAATGTTCAGGATTTGCAGGCACATCCAGTTGCCAGCTTTTACAACGTCCAGTTCCAGACCCCTTGGAGCAATGCTTAGAAGTCTCCAGCCATTGTCCTAAACCTCCGATTCCAGGAAAAGCAGAGCCTTACACAAGCATGAGCCTTCATCTCAACTTTGCAGAACCAGTCCTGAGATACCATCAGATCAACCAGATCATGACTAGGATCACCTACCCGGACAGCCATGCAAACTCCCGACGCTTGCCTTTGTTCCCCTTTCTTATAAAACCCCAAGGTTTACCTCAGCCCTTAGAAGACTGAACTCGAACTTCTTTATGTGTCCTTTGGGCATGGCATACGGATTAAGGCTTTATTTCCCTGCTCTTCACCTCTGCTCTTCTCCTCGATTGGTGTTTTGGGAATAGGTGGCCAAACCTAGTCTGTTGGGACCGCTGGAAACTGGGCTTTTGCACTAAAACTCCAGTAATAACCCCACTAAGACTCAGAGCAGTGGAAAGAATCTTCTAGATTATTCTAATCTATCCACCTCATTTATGGATGAAGAGAACTGATGACTCTCTCTTTCTCTCTCTCTCTCTGGCTTCGGGTCACTCAGGATAAGAGGACTACCTTGGGGTTTAGTAAAAGTGAGAGAGTTCCCTGAGAGGATGAACCAGGAATCCCTTGGGCTTTGAGCAAACTGATAGAGAAATGAAGATTTCATTACCACGAAGAGTAAACTATAACCCATCCAGAGAGCTGCAGGCAGGATGGAAATAGAGGGAGAGCCTCCTGAGGGAGGTAGAAACCTTCACAGGTGGATGGACCTGTCCTCTAAAGGACCCTGCAGCTACCCAGGGCCCACCCACACAAGCAACTACCCATGCAATGCCCAGGATCACTTTCCCTTTAAGGAAACATAAGACCTGAGTCTTACTTCCTATGCATCAAGCAGGGAGACTGCTATTACCAGGGGTGACAGAATAAAAAGAAGCTTCAGCCTGGTTCTGGAATGTCAACCTTTGCCTCTTTACTTAAGGTTACCTAGAGCAGAAGTGATTCTTTTTCTGGCCTGGACCAACCATTTGGGCACAGAAGAGCCAAGAGAAAAGAAGGAAGAAAACAAGCCTGGGAGTGTGGTGCACACCTGTAACCCCAGCACTCAGAGAGGTCCAGGCAGGAGGCTTGGCACAGTTCAAGCTTAGCTGGGAAACAGCGACTTTGTGAGACCCAGTCTCAAAATAAAAGTATGAAAAAGCCTGGGGATATAACTCAGTGCCAAGGCCTTGGGTTCAATTCCAAAAAAGAAGAGAAGCAGGAGGAGGAGGAGGAGGGAGGTGAACAACCTGGGCTGGGTGTGGTGGTCCATGCCTATAATCCCAGCATTTTAGGCTGAGGCAAGAAGATTGCAAGATCTTGTCTCAAAATGTGCACGCGCACGGACACACACACACACACACACACACACACACACACACACACACACCATAAATAAAAACGAAACAGGACCGGGGACACTTCTTGGTTAAGGATAAGAACTGAGAGGCAGTGAAAGAAAGAAATGTGCCTAGAAACTGCGGCATGAGCTTGAGGGAGCGTGGAACTTGCTTTTAATTGTCATAAAACACACCAAGCAGCTAAACTCCAAAAGTGCACAGAATTTGTGATGATTCCAGCCTTTTGGATTCACCGCATAACTTGCTAGATCTGGAAAGCCCTCCCAAGCACAGTCCTTCAGGGCAGGAGGGCAGAGTCACACCGTACCTGCTCCAGCAGAAGGACCCTCTTCCCGTGTTTGGCCAAGTGGTATGCAGTGAAGCAGCCCTGGATGCCTGCTCCAATCACAACAGCATCCCAGAGATCTTTCTGAGTAGCCATGGTGCCCACTTAGCCACAGAGCACAGAGCCCAAGAAGGAGAAGGCAAACAAAGACAGCTCCAGGGGGAGAAAGGCAAAGTCCAGCCTGGCCTGCCTTCCCACAATCCCCTGGGGCTGTGTCCTTTGCTGGTCTCCCTCCCCCGAGGGCCTGGCACAGGGCTTGGCCTCCACCTCCCCTGCAGAGCAGAGCTGGTAGTCTGATTTGTGAGGTTTAGCCCAGCTCAGCTGCCAGTCTCACCCTTACATCCCTCTAGCTTTCTATTCTTGGCTCAATTATTGTCATGCAAATGGACTCCTTCCTATGCCACCTTCCTGTCTCATTATGATCTTTGTCTCAGGACTTCAGCCCTGGAATTTCAATGCCTCCTAGACCAAGCTGGGCACCAGGAATGCTACCTCCCCCTGCTGGCTGTCCACTCTTCAGCCTAATTTCCTTTAGAGAGTCCACGGGGCCAGCTAAGAACTTGGCAGGATGCCCGGGGTAAGGCCCACCTCCCTCATGGGTGGTGAGGTCAGGGGGTAGACACAGGGCCAATTGGGAGGGCAGTTTTGTGATTATGAAATTATTCTCAGCATGTGTGACTTTCACTTTGAAAAAAGGAAAATAAATGATCCCGAAAAAAATGGAAAGGACAGAGTGAGAGGAGGAGCCCTCTCCTGAGGCACAGGGAAGGAACTGGGCACCAACCGAGTGTGTGGAGGAGCCCTGTGTGGAATATCCCTCAGTGCCAGGCAGCATGCTAAGTAAGTGCTGTCATAGGCTCTGGGACAGAACCAGAATTCATAGGTCCTGATTCTTATATGTTTGGAAATCTTCTTTAAAACAAAGGAAAAGGGAGCCGAGGATGTAGCTCAGCAGTAGGACACGTACTTAACATGTTTAAAGCACTAGATTCAGCCTCCCTCCCCCCAAAAAATTATGAACACAGAATTAGGTGCTAAGACTTAGAAAAGATCATTAAATTAAGGAGCACTATGGTTGAAGTTTCATTAGCTTCTTGGTAAATCGGCCTCTGAATACATTATCTCATTGAATCCTCACAGCCCTGGGAATGAGTATTGTTATGGCCGCTTCTGGCAGATTGAAGATAGCCCCAAGTTCTTTTTCACTCTTTCCATCACAGGCTCTGTGACTCTTTGAGCATAGAATGTGGTAGGAGCTATACATAACTCTTTTTGATCTCCACGGCTTTGTCTTCTTGTCCTAGAGCACTCGTTCTTAGAGCCCTCAGCTGCCATGTTAGAAATCCAACCACCCTGTGGGAGAGACCAGGTAGATGTACCCCCCAGGACGATACTGAGAGCCAGTCATAAGAGGGAAGCCAGCTTGAACCCTCCATCCCAGCCTGCCCACCAGTTAAAACTGCTGAGTGACTCAGTGAACACCATGTGGCACAGAAGAATCATTCAGCCAAGCCTCTTTGGAATTCCTAACACACGAAATCATGAGGTAGAATAAAATAGTTGTTTTCAGCCACTAAATTGGGGGGGGGGGAGGGCTAGTTTTTTTACACAACCATAACTGAAACACCGCTTAATAGCCAAAAACAGTAAGGCCTAGAGGGATTGTAATTTACAAAAGCCGCACACCTGGTGTATGCAGATGCTGCGATATGAACCCGGGTCCATCTGCTTAAGAATCTTTCCCTTTAAACACTACGCCATGCTGAAGATTAGTCAGAGCTTGTAGTGATGATTTTGATTTCAATATTTTGCTGTTTTTCTTGTGGCCATACGGTGAGTGGGAGGAAGCAGTCATTTGGGAAGCCCATATGACTACAGGAAGCTGCCCAGCCTCAGCAGAGTGGCCCACTGAGACCCTAGCAACCCTTCTCATTCCACAAATAATCCCCCAGAGTAGCCTTAGCAACTAGCTGTCCTCTCAGCCCAGCCTTCCTTTCCTAGAAAAAATAGGAGCCCAGAGAGGGGTGCCATCTGACTTCTTTTCTGGGAGAAAAAAATCATTTTAGAGTCTAAAGGTCATCTCAACTCTATGTCACCCTCACCCCCCATGGGACAGGCTAGCATCTGCCTCACAATTGGACAGCTCTCTTAGAGTAAAAAATAGCAGACATAACCAAGAAAAATATACTACACTAAGTATGTAAAGGCTTGAT